GTTTTCACTTGGCGTGGTGCTGGTGAGTAGCCAGGTGAAGAATGGGATGGGGACCGTCTCTGAGGTTACTATGGAGCTAAAGTAGCTGCAGAGAAGCAAGTTCAATATCTCTAAGTGATAATGCTGAGGTGTTTCACCTCCCTTCCACTGGGAAATGTCATTCTTTCTAAATTAAATCCCTGCAGCTACAGTTTAATTAAGCTTGCCTCCTCTTCTAGAGATGGAAATCAGATATACTTAAGACTTCAGCTTGGAAGAGGAAAAATAACATTGGCTTCTGCAGGCCCAGATTCTGTTCCAAAGTCCTGTCATCTGTGACCCAGATCTGACCTCTGATCTTTCTTGGGCTCTGCCCTCTCACCTCTCTGTCCTTCAGGCCTCCAAAACTCTTTTGTGATTCTCAATCCTGTACCTCTTCACTTCACTAGGTATTTATCACATCCTTACTGTTTGTCCGTGCCCATGAGAAGATGCAGTTAAAACCAGGCCCTGCCCTGTAACAGTACAAGCTCGAAAAATAATACTCTTCTTGACAAGAAAATATCCTTTAAGTCATGGAACATCTCCCAGAATGTCCATTAAATGCACTATACTACAAAAAAAGTCACCAATTTAATTAAAATCACATAAAACTTGCGTGCCCGCACATGGCCACATGCTGCTTCTGGCAGAGAGATGAACTGTCTAGTGGGTAAGGGAGGTTTCCAGAGAAATATGTCCTCATAGGAACATGGGAGGTGGGGTCCCTAAACCATCCCTGGACCACACCCTGTTCATTGGCTTCATGGGTAACGGAGGCACAGATAGAGAAGAGCAAGAATTGATGGACCATCCTGCCACATCTACGTAGGCCACCCTGAAAGGAGTAGCCCCACAAGTCCCAGGAGAGAAAAGCCAGTTTGCTCCTCTACTGCTTATAATGGCCAAAGTCCCTTTATTTACAAGGAAAAGTATCCCCCAGGTGCCAAAATGCAAGTGCCAACTCACTGTGTGTGTTGGTATGAATGCATTTGAAGTCAAGTATAATCAGTAAAGGATAGGAAAAATGAGCTGGTCCTTAAGGTTAAAAACCAGGGGCCACATTCAGCCAAGGTGAAACACTGTTCCATACCTGAGTGTGTCAAACAAAAACTACACTGAGAGATGTGGGTCTTAAATAGAAAAACATACTTCCTCCTGATTTTATTTGTGCAAAGTACGAGCTGTATTATTTTAACTTGCATCCTTCATTCATTGGAGTTTTTGTTTTTGTTTTATTCTTTGGCATGCTTCAGTAAGTTGACAATCTTTGCTGTGACAATTCTTAACATGTTCAGGATCTCTTGTCATAGAAGTGTCCTAGTTAGAAGCACATTCTTTGAAATTAAGACATGGAATCTCACACAGTGCTCCCAAACATATTGGTTGTTCTATTTTATAATTCTAATGCCTGGAGGAAAAAAATAACAAATGAAAAGTAGAGTTCAGGTGCTGTGCAATTGCATAGAATTCATTCCCATCACAGCTACAAAAAGTGGGTGGCCTTGGGGACCCAGACCCCAGATGTTCTTACAAGTATTCATGTTCATTGTCTGTTTCCTGCCCTGTGTTTGGCTTCTCTGTTTAAGTATCTGTGAAAACTGTGCCGTGTCTCAGAGGCCCATTATCACTGTTCCACCCCTGTCTGGCTGAGATTTTTGGCCATAGTTTCAGCATTAGCTGCCTGCAATGACTGTTCTAGCAGCATTGAAACTCCAACTTCTATTTTAGCATCTCCACCTTTCTCACATGAATTCTTGTTAACTGACAGGAAGTGCAAGAGCCTATCCATGTTAGCAAAAAGCATCTTTGGATAGCCATAGAGTGAACCGGCCATGTGACAAGAGGAAGAAGAGGGGAGTGGTGGGTGTGTGGTTGCAATGTATTCAATGAGAACTTCTGCTCTGTGATTTGTAACTGAAGTGACCTGTGAAAGTATTTGCATCATAGGAATAGTTAACACTGCCCTGGTGTGAACTGGGGAGGCCCAGATCAGCTTACTTGCACTCCTGGGTTTGCCCTGGATCCTTAGAGGTATTAGGATCTTACTGTTCATGCACATTGATATACTTCACATACCCTTTTGTCTCATAGGCCTAGTATGTCACCCTCTTACTATTATTAATTCTTGCTCACCTTGGCTTCTCACTATTCTTTATGCTTTTTCAGGTCTCCTTTCTCATAAGGAAGTTGTACCATTCATCTTATCCATTGTGCATGATACTGGTTCAATGTCCCTTATCAGAAATGCTTGAGACCAGAAGTGTTTGAGATTTTTTTATTTATTTGGGGGTGGCATTTTTTTTAATATTTGCATATACATAATGAGATGTCTTGGCGATGGGGCCTACATCTAAAAAAAATTCATTTATATTTCATATACACCCTTGTACACCTAGCCTGAAGGTAATTTTATATAACACAATTAATTTTATACATGAAACAAACTTTCATGGTGGGGAACTTTCTACTTGTGGCATCATGTCAGAGATCACAAAGTTTCTGATTTTGGAAGTTTGGATTGGGGATGCTCAAACTATATTTTAGATATCAGTGCTATATTTGACTTGAAAACAGAACAATCAATAAAATTTGCAAGCCATGAGAATCTATAACAGTTTCTAAGGAGCCAATGTGAGGTACTTACCGTCTGTTCCCCATTAGTGCTATAGAGACTTCTAATACTTTCACAGGTACCCTGACATTCTTCATTCTGTCTCATGCAGCTTCAACTGTAGCATTTGCAAAGAGCAATCTAAGGTGAACAGATACCATAGTATCCTTGCTCCCTTTGACTGAAGACCCTGCTGTGGGTAAGCCCAATGTGTGGGTAGTAGCCCTTCCCCATTCTCTGTTTTTTTTTGATTAGTGCCTTAGTTCTAAGCCACCCCCCGCCTGCCATGCTCCTGGTAAGCAGCCTCCACAAGAGCTACTCTACTGACCTAAGCCAGGAGGGTTACCCCAAGGGATGAGCATATCCTCTCCTCCACCCCAACCCATGTCTCATAGATAGACTACACAAAGCTTCAGATCCCTAGAGAAGAATAGAGGTATTTCACAATGCCATTTGACATAGTGCCTGTCTATGGTCCCAAATAAAATCAGCCAAGGAGGGCCTGGTATGCTGGTCAATGCCTGTACATAGGACTAGGGAAGTGGAGGCAAGAGGATTGCCAATTTAAGGCTAGCCTGGGCTATATAGTGAGACACTGTCTCAGACAAACAACAACAAAAAGTATTTAAGGACATTTAGAAGATGACCAAGTTATAACTTTAAAAAGGCTGTGGCAGAAGTATCAGGAGCAGGTAGTCTGAATTAGTTACTAAGAAAGAAAACCTGGGTGGTCTAAGTAGAGTCATTTCCTCCCTCTCAGAAAGAAGGCAGTTTCTCAAGGGACAGAGAAAAATGGGGGGCTTCAGAAGTTCTCAAAAGAAAAGCAACAAGACACCCTGACCTGCCTTATCTAGGACCATCCAGGTGTTAGCACTGAACACCCTCCCTTGTGGTTTATTCCTAATCCTAAACAATCAGGACAGGTGGGCAAAGCAGCTCTCTCTATGTGAAGGTAGCACACACTCTCACATACTTCTGTAGCTGTACTAACTTGTTCATCCTGGCATTAACACTATAGGGGTAAGTTGGCTAATGAAATATTTTGGCTCAGGTAGAAGAAAAAATGGAATAATGGAAGAGAAAAAGGGAGGGAGAGAGGAGAAGGGGGGGTCAATGTACTTGACTAGCACAGACCTTTCAAAGAGGAGGGGTGTATGTGTGTGTGTGTGTGTGTGTGTGTGTATGAGAGAGAGAGAGAGTTGGTTGAGTTTTCCAGTGACATAAAGCATCAGGATGATAGAGCCTCTTGTGAATGACTTTGTATCTGGCCTTTGCCACCCATGTTCAGTGCACCAGCACATTAAGTTGCTACCATAGCTGGTAATGAGCTAGGGAGAAATACTATAATAAAAGGCAAAGCAACAAAGGGCTCAAAGAAAAGACTGAACTAAGAATGGAAACACCCACCCTCCCCAGCTCCTGAGTTCTAGGGCATTTGGGAGAATGACCACATGAGAGCATTTCACAGTGAGACTGTATGGGTCCTGCAGAAATTAACTGGAAAGCATTAGTAAACGTGTTCTCACATTAAGCAAGTTATATTCTAGGAACATTGTAAAGAAGCTTTCTAGATGTTTGTTTTCCTGAGGTGGAGGTGATATAAAGATAATCAGCTTGGATTGTGCTCAAAGAACACTGAAATGAAATCAGGACATTGGGTTTTTAGGACGTCTTCATGTAACACTGACTGCAGTATTGTTAATACAGCACACGTAGGAGCTGTCTGAGAAACACAGTGTACAAACAGCTCATTGTCGATGTGGGAGTGTGATGAAGAGAACCCCGTAGGTTTTAAATGCCCTTGTGTCAGTAATCTCTACGATAAAGTGGATTTTCATGATCCTCCAAAAGAAGAGAGTACACATATGCTAAATCTATGTGCTTGTGAGATACTTTGTCACATAACAACCAGCATGAATGTTTAACCAAAACACCCTAACCATTTAATTTTCCAACTATGGTACATAAAGTATGAACAGCTCTGAAGTGGTTTTATATTGTAAAAGCATAACTTTTGTTTGTTTGTTTGTCTTATGGTTCCTCTCACACTCTGAATGTTAAGGTATGGATTGAATACATTTTTATCCAAATAAGTTTCAACAAAGAAATACTGACATGATACACAGCTGTGCCCTATTTTCATAATTCTCTGGCAGCAACCAGAATTTTGCAGGGTTGGAAGGTAACCCTGGTGCAAAACCCCCAAGAGCCATTAAGAAGCAGCATGCCACTCACACCAGAAAGCCTCCATCACGTTTCTGCCTCAGTTTTCACAATTGCAAAGCCCATGATGCAGATGGACATTAACACTTCATCTGGTTGTCTTGTTTCATAAAAGGCCTTTTCAACTTTCTATTTCTTCCTACAGTGCCTCATCTTTGAAGATGCTCCCAATGGGGTGGAGGCGGCCCTGGCAGCCGGGATGCAAGTAGTCATGGTTCCTGATGAAAACTTGAACCGAGAGTTGACAAAAAAGGCCACTCTGGTGCTGAATTCCCTCCAGGACCTGCAGCCAGAGCTATTTGGTCTACCTGCCTACGAGTGAGGGTGAGGATCCTTGATACTGCTGCGGGCCTCTTGGTATCGCAAGGCCATGTTCATGATTCATGCTGCTGAGAGAAACAGAGAAGGAAATCGACAGTCCCAAATTGCAACCTGTATAATCACGTAGCCTTGTGAAGTTGACCTTTCCATCCCATGTTGGCATAGCCCACTCTTCTCAATTGTTGGTAGCTGTCCACCTAACAGTTGAGGGAATGCATAGACATCCCAGAACAAACGTCTAACTTTATCATTTGAATAATAAAGCTGATGCGGTATATAGTAAAGGGAATGTACATATATACATATATATGTACCACTATGTGTGTATATATGTGTGTATCACATATGTATGATAGCACATATATATATGTAAAATACATACTTTTCCAAGACAAAATGAAATTATATGTGCATTTGTTTCATTTTAGTTTTTCTGAACATTGGAACCTGGAAAATGTAAACTACTTACACATATATGTATATGCCTTTATTTGTGTATATATGTGTCTGTGCATGTGTGCATGTGCATATCTATTGCATATATGTATTGTATATTATATACTGCTTCACTGCCTTCATTATTGATGTTAGCATGAAATTGCAACTAGTAGGTGAGATGGTAATTCTCTCTACTTTGCATCCAAGTGGGAAAGCCTTGTTGTTGTTGAGCCTTAAGTAATTCTCCTAATTAGCCAGCCTTAATATGATTTTTGTACCCTCAAATATCTCTTTGGGCCTTTAGTCATGATCATCAGTAGTTTCTTTTTTTTGTTTGAATGTGTCTACAGCATATATTTTATATCTATATCCTTATCCATGTTGGAGAAAGTTTTCTACCTCATAGAAATTATTTCTCTCAAGAACATCTATATTCTACTTTTTTATATAGAAATAGACTTTGATTTCAGAACTACTACTTGATGGCATAATTGGCCATCACATTTCTGTAGATTTACTCAGCCTTTGGAATTTGGCTATTATTTGCCAGAGAAAACTTATGAAGGGCATTAAAATGGAGAATAAAGGAGCACTGCCCCCTCTGGGTTAACACCTTTCCAGTGCTGGCTTTGCTGTCGAGTATTATTAAGATATTTTTCATCTCTATAAATTGTAGAAACCATATAGTACTGCATGTGTTTGTCTGATGGGTTGATTCTTGATGAGTACCCCTGGCTGTTAGCCAGTTTTGCCTCAGTGTAGCACATTCATCCTAGCATTCCTGATTATCTTTATACTTGTCTGCTCTTTGAATTCTCCTTTGAACTTAATGGAATATCTTACTAGTTCTCTCACAAGTTAATGTAGTTAAATAAACTCTTTCATACATGTTCATGTAGTATTTGTGTGGCGATCATGATTTTACCTTTTAAAAACATACCCTCTTTAATAAAATATAAATGTGACTTCTGTCTTCACTGAAAAATCCAAGCAGTGCTTAAACTGTAAAGTATTATCTATATATTTTAAATGAACTGTCATACCCTTGGGTATAGCATAAAGCTTTCAGTGAAATCGTCATTTATTAGATTTGGTACCTTGTCCTTCCAAAGTATGTTTGGATGATGTTTTTGTAATAATTACACTATTTTGAATGAAAACAACAAACAGGTTTAACGCATACTTAAATGACATAGGTCTCCCTTTGGTTACATTCTCCTGCAAGGTAAATTATATCTCAGGTGTCATTTTAACCACAGCTGCAGCTTTTTCTTGTGCCAAGAAAAATCCTGATGCTTAGTCATTGTACATTCTTTTTTATTCTTCCACATCAATCTGATTGCTTCAATACTTTGTAGTGATTTTGTTCCACCAAACAGCTCTTTGATTTTGGGGAGGCAGGAAAGTGAACATTTACACCAAAATGACTCATGCCAAGAAAGTTAAAAAAATAGTTGTCATACTTTCTTACCTGTTTTTAAACTTTGTTCCTACTAGGGACACTCAGAGACTAGTAGTTACCCACTTTTGAGCCTCAATCAGCAGCTAATGTTTATTTACACATTACTTATCCTTAAGGAGGATTTGTGCTATGAATGACAGCACCTCAGAGATGGCACCATCAAGCTCTTCCTAATTCCATCTTAAATGAAGCATGTGTAACACATTTAAGAACTTTACTGACGAGTAAGCCAGGCATGGTGTCACACTCCTATACTCCCAGAACTTAGGAGATTGAGAATCAAAAGTTCAACACCAGCCTAGGCTACATAGCAAGACCCTGTCTCAAAAAAGGAACTTTACTTATTAGAGCTTTTTCTACCAAATAAACCCAGTGGACTTTGCTGACTTTTCTAAAAGAAAAAATATATGGAAGACACCTGTTTCACACAGAAAAAAAAATCAATTTGCAATGGAACAGAAATGATTGCTGCTAGACTTAACTACTGGATAGCCCTCGTTGACAATAGTCAGTGTCTGTATACTGTGGTTCATGCTTCTTTGTATGCAGTTAGTAGATTGCTGCTAAATTTGGCTTGCTTTGAATTTTGTCTCAAAATCTTAAAAAGCAAGCTTGCACAATATAACAACTTTTATAACGAGTTGCCTTATCTGTAATAACTCCTCCATTGATCATTGTTCTGTAATCTACACTGTTCCCAGCTATTCCACCATCTAAAGCTCCTTTGTCTTATATGAAGGCTTTAGCCTAAGGGTGCCACCAGCAGTTATCTGTGTAAAGCAAAAATGAACTGCTATGGAGCCAGGGATATTATTGTAGCCCCCATTTATCTGCAGTCTCAATTTCCCACAGTCTCAGTGATTTGCAATGAACCACAGTTCAAAAATATTAAATGGAGGGCTGGCAGTGATTCAAGTGGTAGAGCGCCTGCCTTGCAAGTGTGAAGCCCTGAGTTCAAACCCCAGTGCCACCAAAAATAAAAATTAAATATTAAATGGAAAAGTCCAGAAATAAATATTAGTCTCTTGCTATATGAAGTTTTTAAGTTAATGTTTATCATAGGTATGTATGTATAGGAAAATACATTATATATAGGGCTCTCTGTATAGGGTTCAGTACTATCCATAGATTGTGCATCTACCAAGGGGTTGTGGAATATATCTCCCATGGATAAGGAATACAATAGTTTGGATCTGGAATGTCCCCCAAAAAGCTCATGTGTTGAAGGCTTGTTCCCTAGTCAGTTTCACTATTGGGAGGTGGTGGAACTTATAAGAAGGGACTAGTGGAAGGAAGTTAGGTCATGGGGGGGGTGTCCTTAAATATGATATTGTGACCCCAGCCCCTTCTCTTTCTGCTTCCTGTCTACTATAAGGTTAGCAGCTTGTTCCACCACATGCTCACCACCATGATGTTCTGCCTTACAACAATTGCAAAAGCAATTGGGTCAGGTGATCGTGGACTAGAGCCTCCAAAACAGTGAGCAAAAGTAAATCTTTCCTCCATATAAGTTGATTGTCTCTAGAGTTTGTTACAGTTAAGGAAAGCTGAATAACCCAAGGGGGGACTAGTATATATTATGTCAAAATCTAGTATTCTCCACCTTCTACTAATTGAAGATACTTGGTCTACATAGGTAGTCATAGATTAAAAAGTTCATGCTATCTCTGAAAGTAGATCTTCAGATCACCCTCAGGTATCCTGGTTCCTGTGAATCTCTGGAATCAATAATATGTTGTACATGTAAAATGCTGATCTTTTATCTCCTGCATTAGCCAGAGTGTTCCCATACACTGTAACTGCTTTCACCAGAAAAACTGTTACCACGGTTGAATTAATTTTAAAATATTATCTATTATATGTAAGCCAGTATAAACATACATAACTGAATAAGATATCTTAAGTTACTTACCTTGTTAAATTTTAGTCACAATATACCTGAGTTGAGAATATAATTTAAATGTGTCTCCTCCAAAAGGCAAGATGAAACTTGATCCTCACTGTGGTGGTATTAAGTCCTGGGGAACATCTGGAAAGTGATTAAATGTTGAGCGCTCCATTCTTGTGGATGTCCTAGTGCCTTGTGAAAAGGCCAGAGGGAATTAACATAGACCCTTTTATTACCTTCTGTCCTTCCTTCCAGAGTGAGGACACAACATTCAAGGTACCATCTTACAACATATTTCCAGGCCCCCAGGAGACACAGAACCTGCCTGTGCCTTTATCTTCAATTACCACCTTCCAGAACTGTTTGAAATTTCTATTACATTTAAATTACACCAGTGTGAGTTGTTTCCGTGTAACAACAAGAACAGACTAAGAAACTTGGCTTCCATATCTTTCTTAGCACCTTGGTTAGCATTATTTCAACATGACAAGAGACAGATTCAAAGCTAGATCACTGTGCTGTCTGGCTTGATTTGATTACTCCTCAAATTAACTAGATTTTTTCTGTGCATCTTTTGACCCAAGTTGTTTCTGAAAAATTAAGCTATTGCCTCCCTTTTTTTAGTTCCCGACTGTGGCAGGTTCCTGTCACAAGATCATTTTGAAACTATAAAATTCTTAGATTAGTATTAAAGCATTGCTTTTAAAATTTATTTTACCGTTTTTACATTTACTCATATGTGTATATTTTGTTTGGGCCACCTCCACCCCCTCACCCCCACCCCACTTCTGGACAGAACCTGTTCCTTGTTACACCCTCTTGTTCTCCGATTTGTTGGAGAGAACACATAAGAGATAATAAGAAAACATAGCATTTTTCTAGTTTGAGATAAAAATAGCTATAAAGAGAGATTCCTAGCATTGCTTCCATGCACATGTGTATTGTAACCCACGCTGGTTCATCTCTACCAGACCTCTTCACTACTTCCCAGTCACCTTCCCATAGTGGCCTCTGCCAGTTTAAGATTACTATGTTGAGTATATTTGAGTCCTGTAGACTTTGTAGACTTCCTAGGTATATGGTTAGCTTTATGAATGGCCAAACCTGTCAGCATTATCTCTACCACTGTTCCCAGGCTCACTACCTAAGGTGACTTCTGTACAACAAACACAAAAGAGGTGAATTCTTAGCCGTCTGTGTAATCTCTATAAGTCATGACCAGGCATGAACTGGGCCACCACATTAGAATACTTAGGGGCTTGGAAGTATGAATCAGAGTGTTTGCATCTAAACAGACCTAGATTTCTAGGTTAGACTCGAATTCCTGGCACACTGATACTGATAACCAGGGAGAGACCAATGCCCTCCCCATCAGGAGTCAAGTACATCAGTATCTCTTTCTCCCATGAAGACAAAACCCAAGAACTGCCAGGTTCTCCAGTCTATAGAAAAGTGCTTACCTAGAAAAGAAAGGCAAGAGGACAAGACACTTGATGAAATATGAAAACTCTCAGAAAACACTTTTAATTAGTATAAAGTATTTGCATATACTGATCACCTGAAAATTGTAAAATACTCCTGAATTTCTGCACAAGTAGGTAATCTTAATATTTTTGAGTGCTGATTATAATCTTAATACTCACAAACTTGTGTCCCTTGTGTCTATAAGTTATCCTCCCACCCCCACAGTGACTGAGGCACAGTTAGGTTACATAATGGTGTGGCTGAGGATTATAGCTATATGAGATATCCATGTCACATTCCAGAAAGCATAATCATTCTCAGTATTACTGTCTCCAACCATCAAGGTGGGGGGGGGGACTTTCTTGGTAATTAGAGTAAAAAGGATGTGTGTTAGTTTTCCTTCACTGTGACAAAATACCTGAAATAATCAATTTAAAAAGAAGGAAGGTTTAGGCCAGGCCTGGTGGGTCACTCTTGTAATCCCAGCTACCCAGAAGGGAGAAATCAAGAGGATTGTGGTTCCAGGCCAGCCTTAGCAAAAAGTTAGTGAGACCCCATCTCAACAACCCAGGTGTGGGGACATACACCTTGTAATCCTAGATATGTAGGATATATAGGTAGGAGGATCCTGTCCAAGCCTAGCTTGGGAAAAAAAAGCACAAGATTCTATCAAAAAAACAGCTAAAGCAAAAAGGGCTGTGCCTAGCAAGCACAAGGCCCTGAGCCCAAAAACTCAAGGGGCTATTTTAACTCACACTTATGGAGGTTTCAGTCCATCCTTGGTTGGCCCCATTGCATTTGGACCTGTAGTGAGGAACACATAGTGGAGCAAAGCTCACCTGCAGCAGCCAGGTAGCAAAGTAAAAGTAAGAGGAGAGGCCAGGGACCCAAAATCCACTTCAAGGCCATTCCCTCATGCCTAACTTCCCGTGTCTTAAAGGGGAACAAGTCTTTAACACAGAGGTCTTTGGGAGGTATTCATGATCTCCACTCTAGCAACATCCCATCATCCCCTTCCTGATATGGCCCCAACCCATACAGGTCAATCTTGGGAGCATTGAGTCTGTACAGCATTTGAACATCTCCAAGGCAGCACACAGAACACAATCCTACCATGGCTGCACTGTCAACTTACCCTGAAGAATGTTTTCCTTAAATAAGTTTGAGATGCCCACTAATTGGGAAAATATTAAGCTCTTTGAATGCTACTGCTTATCTGTGCACGAGACAGCTCCTTCATTACTCTGGTCTTCAATATTCTGAACCTGTCTCCGGAAAACACTGCAGAATGTCATTCTTGAGTACTACTTCTTTGCAAGTACTTATCAGGCCTGTGTGATGAGCTGTTTATTCTCTGTTGATTTCCATACTAATGCACGGTCGAATTTATGAAGCATGTATTATCCAGTTTAAGGCTGAATCTGAGCCAACAGTGTCTCACATAGGTTTTCTGCCACTGTGAAGGTTTATAAAAGTCGTCATATAGCTCACCTCAAAGTTCTTAGAGAATAGCTTTTAGTAATTGGCTTTTCAAGGCCAACTGAAGGACTAAGATCTGAGGTTTTACAAAAGTTCAATGCTTCTTTCCATCAGACTGGTTATAACTTCAGTCCTTCCATTTCTTTTCCTTGTTTCCTTGTCTCCAAATTGCTTATTCTCTGTTTTTCCTATCCCCACAGCTTCTACCCTCAGCATCAACCAATGAGAAGTCTTGCCGTGTGAACTTCAGTGATGAAAATCAGCCTTGAACCCTTTGACTAAGTTGTTCCCAGTGTCCTGTTGAAGGTTTCAGAGACAGGCAGGTCTAGGACTCCTGAAACTGGCTCCAGGTTCACGCAATGTCCACTCCCTCATGCTGTTTCTGAACAATCGCTGCCCTTCTCTGGCCAGAAATTCCTTGAAGGAATAGTTCAAAATTCATCCCATGAGTTTTGGGGAAAGAAAAACCTATTGCACCCAATTCCCCAGACTATTTTGTCTCCTGATGTTTATTGAAAGTCTCCTGTGTTCACAAGACAGTGCTAAACATGGAGGATGCAATAATAAACTAGCAGACATAGTCTTGTTCTCATAGATTTTTTTTGTTAGTGGGAAAAAGGTGACATAATCGTACATATAAACATACAATGGCAAAGTTTTGCTGATGCTGCCAAGCAAAAGAATAGAGTTGAAGAGACAACATCAGTGAGCATCTAATTTAGAGTTTTAGGATCAAACAGGTAGCCTTATTGTAAAAATGACATTGAATTTAAAATCAGAAAGCAGTAAATTTTCTTAGAAGAACAGACTCAAAGCACCTAAAAGAGATGAAAATATATCCACACAAAAATTTGTACACAAATGTTCACAGCAGCACAATTGATAGTAGCCCCAAGGAGTAAACTGGAAGATATTGCCAAAAAAGAAAAAAGAGAAATGGAAGTTGGCTCTGCAATGAAATCCCACAAATTCCAATTTAATTGATGCCTTTTACCAACACCTAAATGTGTTCCCCCTAATTAGTCCACATTAAAAGCACCTTCCTCTATTTCTAACAAGTTATGTAACTTGAACAAGAGATAGATGAAGGTTTCCATTGGGGATTTAGACTATGCCAACTGGATCACAGACTCAGTCCCTCTTCTAACATAAAATGTGTTTATCTTTTACTCTTACTGGCCTGCTTATCAATGCATGACAGTGGTGGGAAAAACTAAGACGAGACAAAAAGCTAGAGGGAAGGAGCTAACTTCACCTAATGGTTTATATAAAGTGATAATTCATGTTTAAACCATCCCTAATCTGAAATCCAAAAATGCTCCAAAATCCAAAACCTTTTGAGTGCTGACATGATGTCAACAAGTAGAAAATTTGACACATTTTTAACTTTGTTTCATGCACAAAATACTGTATAAAATTACCTTCAGGCTATGTGTATAAGGTGTGTATGAAACAAATGAACTTCATGTTTAGATTTGAGTTCCATCTCCAAGATAACTTATTATGTATATACAAATATTCCCAAATCTGAAAAGTTCTGGTCCCAAAAATTTTAGATAAGGATTATTCAACCTGTATTATGTCAGTTGATGTTGTCATTTGAGGCTCAGTTTGTCAATATAAGCCATGCCCTGGCTTGGAGGAAAATGTACAACCTTAGGAGGAAAGGGCTTTTAAAAAATAAAAAAAGGATTAAGTGAAAACAAGGAGAAGGTAATTGACATTACAAAAAGGCATCCAGAAGCCAAAGTAGAAGATGGCTTCATGAAAGTGGAGGTAACTGTCAGATATTGCTATGAGGTCAAACAAGGTAAGGACAGAGATGTGGACATGATGTGATGACATGCAGGCCACCTATGGCTCAGGCAGGACCAATTCAGGGACAATCATAGATAGAGGACATGTTGCAGAGGTTAAATTAATCAATGCAAGTCAACTCCCTGTATAGCTATCCTTATCTCAACTAGCAAAAACCCTTGGTCCTTCCTATTATTGCTTATACTCTCTCTTCAACAAAATTAGAGATAAGGGCAAAATAGTTTCTGCTGGGTATTGAGGGTAGGGGGGAGAGGAAGGGTGGAGTGGGTGGTAGGGACGGGATGGGGCAGGGGGAGAAATGACCCAAGCCTTGTATGCACATATGAATAATAAAACAATAAAAATTTTTTAAAAAGCGAGAGCACACGAGGGAGGTGTGAGGATAGGTAAGACACCTAAAAAACTAGCTAGCATTTGTTGCCCTCAACACAGAGAAACTAAAGCAGATACCTTAAAAGCAACTGAGCCAATAGGAGAAGGGGAACAGAACTAGAGAAAAGTTAGATCAAAAAGAATTAACCTAGAAGGTAACACACATGCACAGAAAATCAATGTGAGTCAACTCCCTGTATAGCTATCCTTATCTCAACTAGCAAAAACCCTTGTTCCTTCCTATTATTGCTTATACGCTCTCTTCAACAAAATTAGAGATAAGGGCAAAATAGTTTCTGCCGGGTGGGGAGGGGGTAGGGGGGAGAGGGAGGGGGTAGAAATGACCCAAACATTGTACGCACATATGAATAAAATAAAAATTAAAAAAAAAAATAAAAGAAGGGGAGATCATGAACATTGAAGGGTTTTTTTGAAAAATTTTTCTAAACAAAGAAGCAAACAAATGGGGCTACCACTACAGGGCAAAAGGAGCTAGGAAGAAAGGATAAGTGTACCAAGACACCTGCCTCTGAGCTCTGGTGTGGGTGAGAGATTCAAAGACAGTTTGCAGTGCAGTCTAGATAGTAAAGGATCTTCTAACAAGGACTTAACTTTCTACTAAAGGTAAGGAGGACCTGTGGGGCTGGACAGAGTTCAAATTTCTCTTACAAGAAATGAGCCTTATAGGCCAGGAGAGGAGAGAACAGGCTGAGAGGCCAGCTGAGTGGAGAGAAAGGGGAAGAGGAAAAATGTTCCTAGGAGTGCTGACTGTTCTTTCAGGGGTCCATTTCATCCTGCAAGTCCAAGCAGCCAGGTACCTACAGGGCTCTTGGCTAGCTGCTGTCTTTAGCTCTTTGAACCCTAGTCTTCAGAAGAGACGTTTATTTACAGTTCTGCCTAAGAAACAGCTACATGCTTGCTTATGAAGCACCTAGAATCTAGCTTCCTACACTGAACAGAGCTGGCCCAGCTCTCCCTCCTGCCACTCTGAGTAAAATTACACAGTGGCAGTGTCAGATATGTTCATTAATCCCCTGTTAAAATACAAATCCCTCTGAGAATGTGCCTCCCATCTTAGCCTATTCAATCACATCACTTCCTCCTCCTTTTTAGCTGAGAATTACTTAAAAGAGGGAATCAAATTTTGATGCAGGGAAGAGGACTCAAAAAGAAAAAGGTTAAAAGCAAAGGACTTTTGAATAAGAAGCACAGTAGGCAAGGAAGTAGGATTGAGTGGGTACTTCTTAGGATGTTGGAGAGGGTGAGTGTAATAGGAAGGAAAGGGGAATAAGCAAAGCGGAGCCAAAAGAGGTAATTCTTTATAGTACAATAGTGCATGCATGCTACATGATCAAGCACTTATGTTCCGTGCATAATTCAGTGCTACTGTCTGAAAACTCAGCAAAGCTCCTGCTGTGAGCAGCAGTACAAATGCTGCACCATGACTTTTGTGGAGAAGCATGCCAGATGCAAGTCACCAAGAGTGTTTTTTCCTTTGCATTTCTTCCCTGGGGCTGCATCCCATAAGCAGTAGCTTTTTGACATGTGCCAGCCCTACAGCACCACATATTCAAAGGCGTCTTCCCCATGGTCGGTAAGGTTGGTGGGGATTCCTGTCCTGAACTATTACAGCAGACCTCAAGCCCCACCAAGACTCAGATGCCCACAGGGAGTCTATAGATGAGGGTAACTCTTACAGTGTGTGTTAGTCCCTTGTTCATTACTAAAGCAAAGAGCCTGAGGCCAACCAGTCTAACCTTATAAACAAAGTGTATTTCCTCTTTATATCTTGAGTTTTGTTTTCTGCCTTTATTTCCAATGTTGTACGTATGGTGCATTTTTCCTGTTTGAGCTTAACATGCTGTTGTGCAGTCTGTCGAATAGGTGATCAAAGTAGATATTTACATGAAATAGCAAGAAAGGGCTCCCATGGGTGAGGTGACTTATGTTGGCAATATGAGGAAGAGGATGGGTCCTATCTATTGTACAGATCATCTCCAGAACCCCCAAGAGTGAGTGCTTTTCATTTTCCTGATGTTCAACGTGAGTCTTTAAAACCAGAGAAGCTAGGTGCAGATTGTGGACTTTTGAAAGGATATTAGAAGATATGAATTTTTATACCTTTCTTGTATCACTTGGCTTAATTAAACAAAATAAAAGGTAAAATGGAGGAAGAGTCTCCTACTACTAATTCTCAAGAGGATGGGAAAATATGTTCAAATGAAACAAAAACCCCAATTCATACCATGGTGATTGGGACGAAATGAACACATATTATTTAGTCACTTCATATTGGAATGGATTTATATGAAATAAGAAATAAGGCAACTTAAAGGGAGGGAAACTTGGGCATTTAACTGAGGGAAAACACCCTAGGCTTAACTCAGGGCTTCAGATCCCACTGTGATGAGCACTCCCACAGAGAGAAGTTTTCTTGTGAACATTTCACAGCAGACAGTTTTAAAAGGAGGGCAGGTCTGAGGCAGCCAGCCATCGCGCTTCATTTGAAAATTAATATGAGTGTATCTTATAACAGGACTGATTTGTTCCCTCCCCATGAAAGCAAGTTGAAGCCCTGACCCCCAGAACCTCAGAGTGTGACTGTGTTTGGAGATGGGTTCTTTAAAGAGGTTATTAAGGTAAAATAAGATCACTTGAGTAACCCTAAACTAATAGGAATGGTGTCCTTATAAGAAGAGATCAGGACATAGATGCACAAAGACCAGCCTGCTCCCACCTTAACCACAGACTTCCAGCATCCAGGATTAGACAAGAATAAATGTCAGTTGAGCTAGCAACTCACTATATGCTATTTTGTTTTGGTGGCCTGAGCAGACTAATACATCCATATTCTTCATTAAAAATATTTTAATAAGGGGCTGACAGAGTGACTCAAGTGGTAGAGCACCAGTCTAGCAAGCACAAGGCCCTGAGTTCAAACCCCAGTGCCACCAAAAACCAAAAATGAAAAAATATTTTAATAAATAATCTTAAGATTTAGGCTTACTATTTGGAATAATACAAAATAAAGAGAACATACATGTATATGTACATGTATACATATATGTATATCTGAAATGTCTATTATCTCTTATCCATCTTTGGTTTTTATGGAATGAATAAGACCTAGGGGTATAGAATTATTGTTGCTCCTGTCAT